GTGCACTTTTTCCCACTGATTTGAGAGCCACCCTGTCACCAAATCCGCTCATGCACAGGCAGTCACTTCCTCCCCCTCACCAGCGTCCCATTGCTTTCACCGCTGGGCTTTAGAGTCTGCCCAGGTCCTGGGGGCGAAAAGCACCCTGCCCTTCTTCTCCTGGGACCTGGTACCTTGGCTTTTCTTCTGTGTTTACTCTTTCATATGAATTCTACAATTAATTTGTCAATTTCCTGGGAAAATCATTGACTTTATAAGCTGGTTGAGAAAACGTGACCGCCTTGCCACATGGAATCTTCCCATTTTTGAACATAGTTCATCTCTTCTTTTATTTAGGCTTTTTTTTATGTTTTATGACATTTTAGAGATTTCTTCATTTAGATTTCACGTTTAAAAGAAAAAAGAGCAGTTTTAGGTTCAAATCAAAATTGGGAGGAAGGTACATAGACTCTCCATATCCCCCCGGCCCCACACATGCACAGCCCTGCCCCGTAACACCACTGGCATCCCGAACTGGAGTGTATGTTTCTTACACTCCATCTACCCACACTGATATGTCAGTATCACCCCAAATCCATGGTTTACGTTAAGGTTCATCCTTGGTGCTCTTCATTCTATGGGTTTGAACACATGTGTAATGACATGTATCCACCATTACAATATCACATAGGGAATGTTCATTGCCCTAAAAATTTTTTGTGCTCCACCTACCATCCGTCCCCTCAACCCTAGGCAACTGACAGTAGAAAGGCAACCCTTTCTACTGTCCCCACAGTTTTGCCTTTTCCAGAATGTCATATATTTGGAAGCAGATGCATGTAGCATTTTCAGGTTGGTTTATTTCACTTAGCAATATGCATTTAAGGTTCCTCCATATCTTTTCATGACTTGATAGCTCATTTTTTAACACTGAATCGTATTGCATTGTCTGGATGTTCCATGGTTTATCTATCCATTCACCTACTGCAGGACATCTTGGTTGTGCTCAGGTTGTGGTAATTATGAATAAAGCTGGTATAAACAGCCGTGTGCAGGTTTTGTGTGGACAGAAGCTTTCAATTCATTTGAGTAAATACCAAGGAAAGCGATTGCTGAATCCTATGATAAGAGTAGCTTTTGTTTGGTAGGAAATTGCCAAACTGTCCTCCAAAGTGGCCACGCCCTTGTGCATTTCCACCAGCAATGAATGAGAGTTCCTGCTGCTCTTCATCCTCACTAGCATTCAGTGTCGTCTGCATCCAGGATGTGGGCCGTTCTAAGAGCAATGTAGTGATCGCTCATTGTCAGTTGGATTTAACACTTTTTTGTTAGATTTTGCATCTGGGCTGTGTTCACTTGTGAGTTAGAGGAAATCTAAACACCAGTGGCAGTAACAAGTAAGGTCCCCTACCTCTTTGTCTCTCCCTCCAAACTCACCCTTCACCAAGAAGCCCTAGGTAAGGCAGCCCAGGCCAGTGATTTGCTCCAGAAGATCATCCATCAAGGAACTGAGCATCTTCTGTCTTTTCCTCCACCATCTGCAGCAGAAAGTGGTCACACTGTGATCCCAAGAAGGCTGCTGTACCTCCTGGTATCTTGTCTGTATTCCAGGCAGGAAGAAGGTGGAAGGACCAACAGCAGCTTCTTACCAAACGCTGTCTTCTTATCTGATAAGGAGCCCCCTACCACAGGAATTCTGCTTACATATCATGGAGCAGACCTTAATCACACAGCTAACACACCTGCAAAGGATGCTGAGGGATCATCTATTTTAGGTGACTATATTGCCAACCCAAGCAAAGCTTAAGGGTTTTTTTTTTTTTTAAGTAAAAAAAGTTTAAAAAGGGAGAATGTCCAGGCCTTTGGCATGGCTGCCGAAGGTCTACCCTCCAATACCTAAAGTATTTTGTTAGTAGTATGAATGGGATCATTTTTCCTATTGCAATTTCTCATGGTTTTTGCTGAAGGAAGAAAAACTACTGATCTTTATCTGTTCAACCCACATTCTGCACTCCCACTAAACTAATTAATTGGTTTTAATCATTTGTCAGGTGATTCTTTGGATTTTCCAAATTGAACAATTACGTTCTCTGAAAATAATAATAGTTTGTTTCTTCCTTTCCAATTTTTATTTCTTTTCTTGAATTTTGGCTAAGCTGTGATACAGGAGAAATGACTTGGCTTTAATTTTGTGGCACCACTAAGTAGGGTGGTTCCTACAGTTGTCTGGTTTATAACCTTTAATATTTCAGGGAGTTCCCCTTTATTCTGTTTTCTAGAGATTTATGTCATAAATGAATGTCTACAGGGCAGGACAGAGGGCAGCATCTACTGTGAAAATTGTAAGGATTTTTTTTCCCCATTAATTTATTAAAGCATTGACAAATTGACAATTTGTCCATTTTTTGTTTTTGTTGAATTAACCTTAGCGGCTCAAGATATATTATATTATTAATAAACTATAGGACTCAATGTACTAATACTTTCTTTGTGGTTTTTACATGTACAAGTCTAATGATCCTTTGCGGTTTTGTTTTTTCTTATGTTTTCCTTTATCTGGTTTTGACAATAGTGTTTTTACTAACCTCATAAAAGGAGCTGGTCAGCTTTCCATCATTTTCTAAACTCTAGAATAGTTCCAGGAGATTTAGGTTATCTGTTCCTTGAATATTTTTAAAAAATCATCTTTAGGCTGGGCATGGTGGCTCATGCCTGTAATCCCAGCACTTTGGGAGGCCAAGGTGGGCGGATCACCTCAGGTCAGGAGTTTGAGACCAGTCTGGCCAATATGGTGAAACCCCATCTAGGAAAAAAAATCATCTTTAAACTGTATGGATTTGTTGCCTCTTTAGTTATTGATCTTTGTCAACCATTTCCATTTATCTAATGATTGTGTCCCTATTCAGGGTTCTACTTGTTCATGGGTCAATTTGGTTATATATATTATCTTAGGAAGTTTTCAAACTCAATCTTTTTCTTGGTATATTGGTATAAAAATATTCAATTCTTTTATAATTTTTGAAGGTTGATAGTGTCCATAGTCGTAAATCCTTTTGTGTTTCCTCGTGATATTTACGTCTTCTCTCCTTTTTATTGATTATGCCTGTCAAAAATTTGTCTATGTTATTAATCATGTCAAAGAACTTGCTTTTGGTTTTGTTGATTACCAGAATTTCTGGCTTTCTGTTTCATTCATTCCTGCTTGTATATTAGTTTTCTTCTCCATTCTACTTTCTTTAGATTTTTCTTATTCCTTTTCTTATAGTTTCTTAAGTTGAAAGCTTAGCTCATTTATTTTCAGTCTTTCTTGTTTTCTAATAAATGCACTTCTGGATCTAAATTCCCCTCTGAGCACTACTTTGGCTGTATCCCATAACTGTTTAGGTGTAGAACTTTTACAGTCTTTTGGTTTTAAGTGCTGTACTCCATTTTGATTTCCTCTTTAAAACATGAATTATTTAGAAGATTTTTTTTAACCTCCAGATGTTATGTGGGGATATTCTGTCTAACTTTTTGTTGCTGGTTACTATTTTTATTTCCTTGCCCCCATTAGAATAAGAACTTGATGACTTCAGCCTCTGAAAATTATGGGTTTTCCTTTGTTGCTTGGTACATGGTTAATTTTTTAGAAATTTCCCCATGTACTTGAAAATAATGAGCATACTCATTTGGTTGTAGAGTTAATTAAATTCTTCAAATCCTTTATTTTCTTATTAATTATTCTTCTACTTGCTATGGTAGTTTTTGAGAACTCATGTCTTGTGGCTGCTGTAATAAATTATCACAAACTTGGTGGTTTAAAACAGCAGAAATTTATTCTGTTCCAGTTCTGGAGGCCAGAAAACCAAAATCAAGGTGTCATCAGGGCAGTGGTCCTTCTAGGAGCTCTGAGGGAGTCTGTCCCAGGCCACTGTGGCTTCTGGTGGCTGCCCACCTTCCTGGGCAGTTGACTTGTGCCAACCTGGGCAGTTGACTTGTGCCAACTTATTCCAATGTCTGCCTTCCCCTTCTCATGGCCTCCCGCTCTGTGTCAACCCTCTGCATCAACCCTCTGCCTCTCTCTTAAAAAGATACTTGCAAAAACATTTAGGAGCCACCTGGATAATCTAAGATGATCTCCTCTCAAGATTCTTAAATTAATTATGTCTGCAAAGACCCTTTTTACAAATAAGGTAAAATTTTACAGGTTCCAGGGATGAGGATGGGACATGTCTTTAGAGCCACCATTCAGCCCACTACAGGAAAGATGTGTCAAAATCTCTCCAGAATCATCAATTTCTCCTTGTAATTCAAAGGAACAGCTGTATTTCAAAGGTATGGTATTAGGTGTATACAGTGTCAAAACTATTATATCTCCTTGGTGCATTTTCACTTGTATTAATATGAAATGGCTGTCTCTGCCCTTCTTAATACTTTTCATCTTGAGATTGAATTTATCTGTGTGAATATTGCTACATTCTTCTCTTTTATTAATTGTAAAACTTTCTGAGTCATTTTGTTTCAGCCTGATTTTTATTTCATTTTTTATGTTGTCACAACTGATAAGTTTGGGCTTATTTAGCCATTACAACATGTTTTTTCTCTACCCTGCTTTCTCTAGGTTTCTTTTCTTCATGTCTTCCCTAAATCTGACTTCTAATTACTCCTCTGCACAGCTGAATCCACAACCTGGGGTGTTTTCCAGTTCAGTCACAATATCCAGGGTAGGACTACATTGTATGAAAAACACAGTCACTCTCCCCAAGCATACATGATCACACGTCTAAGCACGAGATCTTAGGGCTGTATGAGTGACCAGTTACATTTCCATTTTGCCACAGCTCCCATTATTTCCACAGCCCTTGGAATAAAACCTCTTGCTCGAGAAGGTATTTCAAATGGAACTCACTGGTTTTAAAATGCATCTGGTTACATTGGGTATTTTTAGTTAAAAATAATTAAATTTTGAGGGATTCTGTAGATGCACCAAAGGACACATGTCCCGGGTAAAAGCTGTGGAAGCTGCTCAGTTTTAGGAAGAGCAAAGGAAAGCCATCTGAAATTGTTTTGTCATCCACTGACTTTTACAAAATAAAACAAGCTGGGGCAGAGTACGTTCTGTGTGAACTCAGCGCGTTCTGAGAAGGTGGCCCACGACGGTAAAGAGACGGCACTCCAGGCCTGCAGTGTTTCTCTGCCACCCAGAGCAAGCATTCTTGGCTCATTTCAGCTGCAGCTGCTGACCTAGTAAAATCTGAGAAAAGAAGGAACACAGTGAATAAAGAAGACAGAAATGAAAGAAGAGAGTGCAGCCAAGAGAGGCTCCAGATACGGCTGAGACGCTGGGGAGAAAAGGAATTTATAACACGGAGAATCCACTTCGCTGGGGCTTTCTCACATTGATGCTATTGCTGTTAAAATTATCCGGGTTCAAATAAAGAAATGCTCTGTCCTAGTCATTATGCATGTGTCTTTTCAAGGCACAAATTCCAGCATAGGCAATTTCGGTGGGAACTGAACTATTTATTTACCGGATTCTTGCTTACGACCAGGCAAGCAGAAAGCCCTCCAGCCCGCACAGAACCAGGGCTGGCTTCCTCTCTCCGCTGGCTCGGAGGGCGTTCTGCCTGACCCAAATGAGTGAGGGCTATAAAATCTCAGCAAGGCCAAGGGCAGAGGCAGCACCGCTCAGCGAGGGAAGCCATACACCAGACAGAAAGACCTCGCTCCACACTCTCCTGGATCACATCCTCAGTTGGAGTTTAAATCACTCTGTGTCCCAGTTTCCACGTCTGTGGGCAGGTGATCCAGCATCCACAAATTCAGAGCTGCTGGCAGGAAAAACTTGTAAAGTAATTAGACACACTGGCCACAGGAGTGTTTGGTACAAACACAGCGTTTCCCGCCCAGGACTCATCCAACCTCATACTCTGTTTTGCTCTGAATGTGCCACAGCAATCCATCTTCCAGGTCCGATGGGACCTCTCCCCAGCCCCCCAGCCCCTGACCTGAACCCTCCTCCTGGTTTTATTTGAAAATGCAAACTCATGACTGCCCCTACTCCACCCAGGTCCGAGGCTGTGCCCTTTACAATTCAGCCCAAGTCCCTGGGCTGCTAGTGAGGTGGGCACATTGCTTCCTGGCCCTCAAAGACAACTCTCTCCCAGGCTTCAGGCTTCATGACACCTGGTCCTGACCTTTTCTCAAATGGATATGCAGATCTTGAAACAAGGAGGAGCCCCTTGGTGAGATGTAGAAGGACCTTTGGTGGAAAGCAAAGGGAGGAAGGGTGGGTTACTGGACAGCCAGATCAGCTGATTCTGTACAGGGAGTCCCCAGGGGAGAGAGCAGTCATTCAACTGTCCTAAGAGCCAGCACGGCTCATCTTCTTCCCTCTAGAATGTATAACTCTTCAAAATGCTAGCCTTGGGGCAGAAGTGGTCAGCTCCTACCTATAATCCCAACACTTTGGGAGGCCAAGCTGAGAGGAGGGCTTAAGGTCAGGAGTTGGAGACCAGCCTGGGCAACACAGCAAGACCCTCTTCTCTACAATAAATAGATGATAGATAGATAGATGATAGACAGATAGATAGATAGATAGATGATAGATAGATAGATAGATAGATAGATAGATAGATAGATGATAGATAGATAGATAATAGTCTAACTTTGTTTCGGTCCTTCTCTCACAGAACATTCACTTTGTTGAAGTGTGAACAGTCCCCAGTCAATTAGGAAAGTTGGTTGGCTAAGCTAACTTTTGTAGACAGCTGCTATGAATGGAATGCTTTTGTCCCCTCAAAACATGTGTTGAACTCTTTACCCCCAAGGTGATGGCATTTGGGGGTGGGCTGTGAGGAGGTGATTAGGCCATGCAGGTGGACCCCTCTTGACTGAGATTAGTGCCCTTATAGAAGGGATCCCAGAGAGCCCTCTCAGTCTCCTTCTGCCATGTGAGGACACCATGAGAAGGCAGGAAGAGGCCCCAGCCAAAGCCCAGCCCTGCTGGCACCCTGATCTCCAACTTCCAGCCTACAGAGCTGTGAGAGAGCTTATTGTTTAGGCCACTGAGTCAGAGACAGCAGCTCAAGCAGACCAAGGCAGTGACCATGTAGTGACCAGGCAGCACAGCCTCCCCGACCCCTGGCCCCACAGGCCAGTCACTCATGCATTCCTTCACTCTCTGTCCAGCAAGCCCTGAGTCCCTGTCTTCTCTCTGAGGGGCACTTCCAGCCAGGACAGAGATGATGGGTGTGCAGGGCCCCCGGGCCTGGCAGCCTTCCCTGTACACAGCAGCAGGTCTGCCCTGAGTGCCACTGTCCTGGGGCCCGGTGTTCAGGGCAGCTCAGAGGTCCTACCTTCCTGCCCGCAGGACTCCGTGCCCTACCCACAAGCAGAGGGCACATGATCTGAAAGAAAAAGATCCATGTGCCCAGTTGTTCCCCAGTAAACATTCATTGAGCACCTGCTGTGAGCCAGGCAGAGCACAGGCCCAACCCCCAGGATGATCAGGCATGCGGTGTCGCATGGGGAGCCACTGTCTGTGAAGGAGACTGGAACAAACAGCTGAAGCACAGAGCAGCATGGATTCTACAGAGCCTCCCTCAACCTCCTCCATGTGTGCCGGGAAGGCCTGGAAGGGGCCCAACAGCAGCTGGGGAAGGAGACCCAGGCCTCCCACGTACACGGCCAGGCCCTGCCCTTCAGGTTCAAGCAGCCCTGGGCTGGTCAACAACCAACCATCTGCCCTGCTTTGCATGGCGGATTCAGGTCAACAACACACCCCCTTGATGTGACACCTCCTTGATGTGACATGACCAGCCTTAGCCAGGCTCCTGTACAGCACTTCAATGTCCAGTCCAAACCAGGCCACCTCAAGCCCCCAGGCCAGAAGCACTGTCGAGAGCAACCTTCTCACCTCCTGGGCTGCCCAAGGGTTGGGTTTTGCCAGGCTCCCTGGTTTTTCATGGCTCCCTGTGGGTAAGCAACACCTTCTTGCAAAGACAGAGAGTGTCCTGTGCAGACCAAAGTTTCTCCAACTGCTTGTGGGCAAAGACCAGGTTTTGCTTTCTAATCTGCCATAGACCGACACTTGTATAAAATTTAAAATAAGGATTTTTAGAATACTAAAAGGAAAAAAGACATACAAAATATACGCCTAAACAGAGTAAAGAGACAACTTATTGAATGGAAGAAAATACTTGCAAACTATTTATCCAACAAGAGATTAATATCCAGAATACACAAGCAATTCACATAACTCAACAACAAAACCCAATAATTCCATTAAAAGGTGGGCAAACGATCTGAATAGATGTTTCTCAGAAAAAAAGATAACAGTGGCAACTGGTATATGAAAAGATGCTGAATATTGCTAATTTTCAGGGAAATACAAATGAAAACCACAATGAGATGTCATCTTATGCCAGTTAGAATGGCTGTTATCAAAAGATGAAATATTAAAAACGCTGATGAAGATGCAGAGAAAAGGGAACTCTGAAACACGGTTGGTGAGAGTGTAAATTAGTACTGCCATTGTAGAAAACAGTATGGAGGTTTCTCAAGAAACTAAAATATCCATGATGGATGCAGTCAAGTTCCCTGACTTGCCACAATGCAATATATTAATGTAGCAAAACTGCACTTGTACCCCATGAAAAGATACACATTTTTTAAAAGAAAATATTTTTAAGAGCTGAAAATAGAACATTATACCATTCAGTTATCCCACCACTGGGTATTTATCCAAAGGAAAGGAAATCAGTAGATCTAAAAGATAGGATACCTGCACTCCCATGTTCATTGCGGCAGTTTATTGGCTATTCACAATAGCCAAGATATGGAATCGACCTTACCATCAGCAAATGGATGGATAAAGAAAATGTGATGTATACACAATGGAATGCTATTCAGTCATTAAAAAGAATGAAATCCTGTCATTTGTAGCAACATGGATGGAACTGGGGATCCTTATGTTAAGTGAAATAAGTCAAGCACAGAAAGACAAATATCACATGTTCTCATTTATATATGTGATATGGTTTGGCTGTGTGTCCCCACCCAAATATCATCCTGAATTGTAATCCCCGCAGGTGTGAAGGGAGGAAACTGATGGGAAGTGACTGGATTAGGGGACAGTTTCCCCCCTGCTGTTCTTGTGATAGTGAGTAAATTCTCATGAGATCCAATGGTTTTTACAAACTGTAGTTTTTCCTGCACACTCACACACTTCTCTCTCTCCTGTCACCATGTGAAGAAGCTCCCTGCTTCCCCTTCACCTTCTGCCATGACTGTAAGTTTCCTGAGGCATCCCCAGCCATGTGGAACTGTGAATCAATGAAACCTCTTTCTTTTATAAATTACCCTGTCTGAGGAAGTTCTTTATAGCAGCATGAAGATGGACTAATACAGTGTGGAAGTTAAAAAAAAAAAAAAAAAAGTAGATTTCAGGGAGGCAGAGAGTAGGGTAGTTACCAGAGAGTGGGGAAAGACAGGGAAGAAGAGAGGTCGGTTAATGGATACAAACATATTGTGATGGGTGATACTGAGTGTCAACTTGATTGGATTGAAGGATACAAAGTATTGATCCTGGGTGTGTCTGTTGAGGGTGTAGCCAAAAGAGATTAACATTTGAGTCAGTGGACTGGGGAAGGCAGGTCCGCCCTTCATCTACTGCGCACAATCTCATCAGCAGCCAGCGAATATAAAGCAGGCAGAAAAACATGAAAAGGAGAGACGGGCCTAGCCTCCCAGCTTACATTTTGTTCCTGTGCTGGACACTTCCTGTCCTCAAACATCAGACTCCAAGCTCTTCAGTTTTAAGAGCTGGACTGGCTCTCCTTGCTCCTCAAGCTTGCAGACAGCCTACTGTGGGACTTTGTGATCATGTAAGTTAATACTTAATAAACTCCAAATATATATTTATATATGTGTGTGTGTATGAGTGTGTGTATGAGTGTGTGTGTGTGTTTGTGTGTGTGTCCAGTTAGATCTGGCCCACTAGAGAACCCTAATCCCTAATATACACACAGCTAAAAGAAATAAATTGGTTGGGTGCTGTGGCTCACGCCTGTAATCTCAACACTTTGGGAGGCCAAGGCAGGTGGATCACCTGAGGCCAGGAGTTCAAGACCAGCCTGGCCAACGTGGTGAAACCCCGTCTCTACTAAAAATACAAAATTAGCCAGGAATGGTGGTGCATGCATGTAATCCCAGCTACTCGGGTGGCTGAGGCAGAAGAATTGCTTGAATCCG